CGCATGTTCTACCAACAGTCAAAAGTTTCTTCTAATCTCACATTTCATTTAATAGTATTTATGTTTGTCTTGTACTGCGGAGTTATAAACGCTTCTGAGACTGATAGAAATAATAACAGCTAGTAATAACTTAATTATTTCTGATAACGGACTTTCTCACTTCGACTGATCATTATTAACACCAGCGATGCGTGTTAGAACGAGGTTAAACTCACGAAAACAGTACAAGAGTTGTTGAAGTACCTTTACAGTTACATCAGCACTATGTTTCCTTCAAATGTTGGCCTGCAAAAAAAATTTCATAAAATCACAACAATTTTTCGGTTCGTTGATCGTTATGAACGAGGAAGAAGACATTCAGTGATAGTCTGTTAAGTTTACAGTGTACTAAACAGGAAGCCGGTCAAGGAGAGAACCTCTGAAAACAAATACGCCACACTATAAGAAAACACTGCGAACAGTATGTGGAAGAGTCGGCGAATCAAGTGTAGCTATGTGAATAACTGATCAGGTGTGACTGATCGAAATCCATTTCTAAACCTTAAAATATAACACATCAACGATAAAAATCCAATTTGATCAATAGATGTCATATTACTATTATTAGAAAGTTTCGTCATACTGAATGGCATACATTGGTCAATGTGTTCTTTAGACATTTTACACTATGCTGAACCATGTTTTCTGACAAAGATAATCCGCTAATAGGGTTTTGGTGAATCATTCTTTGCGTACGAAGCTTGATTTGATAAATAAATATAATCATAATTTACTTTTCTTTGTAATTGCTCGTTATATATTTTCTAATAAACCTTTCGATACTATCCAGTACTTTTCTCAGCAGCAGTTTGAAAGGAGTAAAACATACACAATACAAAGCGGAATAAATTATAAATATATTCTTTCTACTAACAGAGTGTTCATTTAGTCAATATGGTCGTCATTAACAATTGAATTGCAAAGTGGTATATATAACACATAAATAACAGCATCATGATCGACGCTATACGCACTCAAATCACTCACAGATATTTGTCACAATGTTTCGGTTCAAATAATTCATACCTGATGACCATCACACTGAAGCATCAGTGTGCACGCAGATGTCAACATCATTGTTCACAATTTCCTTCGTTACATACTTAGTGAACGACGAGCATTATAATTTGGAAGAGCATTGATTTGAAACAGAAATAAAGCTGAATTATTTTTCTAGTGGGTTTGGGCCTTAAGCAATATGGTTGGTGCATTAAGATCTAACTCATCTTTTTATGACAATTTAACTCTTAATGCATCAATCATATTGCTTAACTCAACTTTAACGTTACTTAGTTTTTCTAGTATGTTTGACTCCATAGAAAGACAGGAACGGAAGTGATGGAAAATATCTCGCTCAGTACTTCGTACTAGAATTATTGTTGTAATGTGAATCACTAAGAGGAAGAAACGAAGATGACTCAAAAACTGCTAACGTAACTCTCGAAAGGTTTCTAACTGGACTGTAATTATTCAAATTTCTATTGAAGAACAAAACATCTAGCGTTTCTGAACAGCCTATACAAACAGTCAATATTGAACAGAAAAAGAAACTATTGTTTTTTTTAGAGAATATTGGAAAGGCTATAAATATATAAATACTATTCCTTTTATTCTTTTTCGATCTAACTACATATGACAAAGAATTATCATTTTATAATAGATGCACTATAAAACGTGTTACATTTACAACTTTACATTATTTCAAATCGAAACAATTTCAAGATTATGCTATTTCTTTATAGACGTAAAAATGTACATTATTTTAGTCTCATTGATAAAATTATATTAGTAATAGCATCAAATAATTTATTATTACAAGTTTATCCTTTATATCACAATAGCAAGGATGAACTATTCTTGAATTTTAACACAAAAAATTTTGTGTGATAACGTTCAGTTTGGGACAATGATTTTGATGATCATATTCATATTAATGTAGACGATATGAATATTGAAAAAGTATGCTACTGTCAATTTGAAACAAAATTTATTTTTATGCGGTACCCAATGTTCACTGGCTCTAGTTAGAGGACATGTTGTTATTTATCTTCAATTGTTAGTTCTTTTTAATTAAATACATGCTGCCTTTTTCAACGTTATTCGAATATTTTCTTATTATATCAAAAAGAGTTGCTCTGAAGAGTAGTACCTTATAACCTACAAATATTGACATTAATCTCACCTACATTTATTCTGGTTAAAAAATCTCTATTCTCAAAAAACCACACCTTTACTAGTATCACATACATGCAAACATTTGTTCGAACGCTTTTCTAAACTATCCAGTTTTGCAGAAAAACGCATTAAAAAAACAACGTTGTAATGCGTTTCGAAAACATCCGCTTTTTTAAAAAAAAAACGCATTAAAAGGATAGCATTCCAACACATTTCAAAAAAACTCATTTTTCGATAAAAAAAGGCTAAAAAACGCAGTTGAATGCACAACAAAAAAGCGCGTCCAGACGCATCAAAATAAACGCGTTTACCTGGTGTTTTTATGTTGCGTTTTACGTCGTGAAAACGCATTCAAAATAAAAACGATGCAACCAAACGCATTGAAGATAAAAACCGATGCGTTTAGACACATTGAGCATAAAAAAGAATGCGTTGAAGCGCAAAAATAGCGCTTTTTTTCTAAAAGTTTGCGTTGGAACGTACTTTTATACAATTTTTTTTCATGGGGTCTCACTTGCATAGAAATAAAAATTAAAAATAACTAATTAGGAAGTTTGTGTCGGAATCTTCGCAGCCAGATCCGAGACGATCCATTTGTCAGAAATCAGAAAAGATTATTCAAAAAAGAAGTGATTCATCAATGTATGAGTGAATATGCAGCAAAGATTTATGACACAAAGACAATCCTTGTACAGACAATAGACAGAACCGAACAAATTTCACTTCTGTAGTAAAATACTGCAAAAGTAAACTTTGACGCCCATAGTGCTGCGATGGTAGATAAACTAATAGGTTATCAATCATAGGCTCTCATTGCGATCAGTGAATCCTATATTATTGAAAATACGGAAAAAATAGTAGTGAAAATAAGCGGGGGAGGGGGACTCGAGCCCCCAGCTTTTGAAAAATCAACAGGGAAGACCGCTTTCTCTCAGCAGAAGCTCGCAAAAAAGTCGATCGAAAGTATTGAGAGTGGATAGTCTGGTCTTGTTCTATACTCATGCAATTCTTGTGGTTAGGTGCACTTTCATAAGTGGTACAGGACATTTGATATAAAGCAAAGCACATATGTCCCCATTGTCAGTATTCATCAGAGAAAGGCAGCCACATACGATGTTCGATGAACATTGATCGTATTGCATGGTACCTTCACATGTCTGAACTCCTGGTGGACTTAGTAAACTAAGAGGCAGTAGTCAGATGAAAGCATATAGAATAGAGCATTGCTTTTCTTTTCGTCGACATCCAGTCGAATCAGCTGAAGAAGAGTGCGATGAAAATGAAAAACAATTTAAGTTGACACAGACGGATACGACTGATCATGTCACAGATGATCAGCCGACAAACTATTTGGCATCCTCAGCTCAAGCAAACATGATTTTGGCAGTTTCAACGAGAGCTCAAGCAGCGCAACAAAAATTTTCAGATGGTTCGACCACGACACCAAACGTTAATGTGGCTCCGCAGCTAGTCCAGGATCGACATGAACTCGATACGCTCTGGGGAACAGCGCGACATAACTTCTGTGCTCATTTATTGGAGAGTCTAGCAGAGGATCATCAAGTCAGATACTCAAAATGAGATCTTAGTTTTTTTACTGTTTCTGTCTACGATATTTTTCTCGTTTCTGAATGGCAAGATAACAACAACGTTATGTTTGCACAATATGCTGATAAAACATAAAGAGTTTGGTGCGTATATTAGTGCAGGTAAGATTGTTTATTGCATGGTCAGTCACCTTTCAATGACAATGAAAATCGTATTCGCTCTCTGTCTCCTCATCGTGGGTGCTTACTGTGTACCGATCTTCGACGAGAACTTGGAAAATTCCTGGACGTTGTTTAAACGTGTCTTCAAGAAACAATATGCATCGAGCGAAGAAGAAACTACCCGGTAAGTAGATGATTTATTTTGTACTGTAGTTATTTAATCTGATGCGCATTTCACTAGACGAACAATTTGGGAAACCAATCTTGCCAAGATCCGTAAGCATAATCTGGAAGCTGACCTCGATTGTCATACTTACACAATGAAGATGAACCGATTTGGTGACATGGTCTGTTTTTTTATGTTGATTTCTCTTGTCAGAAGAATGTCGTTCTTTCTTTTAACTATAGACTAACAAAGAATTCAAGAAGCAAATGAATGGATTCAAGATGAGCGCCAATGTTGACACGAGCAAATTCGATCGTCACAGATTTTTAGCACCATCGAATGTTGTTATTCCAGATGAAGTCGGTAAGTTTGTTTTCCATTGAGAAATTGTATTTCAAGTAAAGAATATTTATTAAATGTGTGCGTATGCATAGACTGGCGCACACAAGGTTACGTCACTGAAGTCAAGGATCAAGGCCAATGCGGCTCATGCTGGGCTTTCTCGGCTACTGGTTCACTCGAAGGTCAAACCTTTGCCAAAACCAAAACACTTCCCTCACTTTCTGAACAACAACTGGTCGACTGCTCTGACAAATTCGGCAACATGGGCTGTAATGGTGGTCTGATGAACAATGCATTCGAATACATCAAACAAAACAACGGTATTGACAGCGAGAAGAGCTATCCGTATAAAGCTTATGATCAAAAATGCCGTTTCAATCCAGCTGATGTTGTTGCCACCGACGTTGTGAGTTTTATCTTTGAAAAAAAGAGAAAAATATACCATATTTGATTTTTTACAGGGCTTCGCTTTTATCAAGGAGAAGAACGAAACTGACCTTACTATTGCGACTGCCACAATCGGTCCCATCGCAGTCGCCATCGACGCCTCGCACGACTCGTTTCAGTTCTACGGTGGCGGTATATATAATGAACCTATGTGCTCTTCATCGGTCGATGACCTCGATCACGGTGTGTTGGTTGTTGGCTATGGTGTCGATGGCAAGAAGTCCAAAACAGACTATTACATTGTCAAGAACTCATGGGGCGAGGGATGGGGTGATGATGGCTACATCAAGATGATGCGCAACTACAACAACCAATGCGGTATAGCCACCTTGGCCAGCTACCCGCTTGTCTAATTCCAGGGTCGCCGAAAGTGTACATTTAACAGTATTGTTTCACGTATTCATTCTTTCCAAATAAACGCTCACGCGATGACGGACAAATACCTTAAAGTTTCTCATTTCCAGTAGAATCATATAAAGATCGGCAAGTCATTCTGCATCCGTTTGAACCGAAATAATTCGACCTACTGCAGTCATCATAATTCGCCAGCAGACTTTTCCTTTTCTGACGCGACTTTTCGTCGCACCATCGTAGATTTACCATAACTTTTTGGTGGAATTCTTTTACTCTTTGAAATTAATTCGACGTTCGATGCTTTTTATACCCCTGATCGTCCGATCTAAATGTTTAAAAAGAATTTTCAATGATATCATGAGATCTGCGAACATTCATTGTGGTCTGACTTGAGTCGAGTGATAATGTTTTCAAAGCGATCCGATGTCACTAGATTAAGATATGCAATTTTAAAGAACACCGATCAAAGTCTCTCAGTAGAAAACGACTAGTCCTGACGAAAAACTCAATCTGATGTTTTTCTTTGCGAACGAAGTTCTGAATCAGAACTTCTGACATACAATTACTTGAGAAAGAAATGATCATGGAGAAATATTCTCAGATGAACATTATGCGACTTCCTTTAATTCCAGTTCTACTTCGTTTTTTATGGCTATTGCTTTGAAGTCCTAGTGACTGACTTCTTGTCCGATTATACGCGCACGCACTAATACTTCGTTTTTATCATGTGTATTAATTTGTAATCCCGTTAGATAAGTGAACAAATCGACTGCCTACAAAAAATTTTAAAAAGTAGATAGAATTATAACTCATGTCTTTCCACATCAATTCGTTCATTTGCTTAGGGTCTTCACAAAATATTCTACAATGAACTTTATGTATGGTTGGTGGAGTACATCATAATATCTAAATGTTTGATTTTCTTCAGCCATCCCATGTAAATATTTTAAGGGGCTTAAATGCGTTTCTACTGCGTCTAAATTGCATTTCAAACGCGTTACGTGGAACGCGTTTGGGTGCGTCTAAAATGAAACATCTGACATATCCGGACGCGTTTGGATGCGTTTGTGGAACACATTCCACTGCGTTCGTGTCATGAAATGAAGGAGAATCAGTTTAGTGAAAAATCGGCCTCATGATTTTTTGCCTATTTCTTAGACCTGCTAAAAAGTTTAAAAGTTAAACCTGCAGTCATATTTTACGGGTCTACGAAAATTGGTCGACACGAAATATGGTCAAAAACTTGTAATAAAAGAACAAAAGTTTTTTAAAATAAAAGCTGAAACTTGCAAGTGTACAGACGAAATTAACGAAACTCTCATTTGCACCCTCATCCTCAAGATAGCGAACGTTACTACAACAATTAGAAGGGCTTGCTCATAATTTCTAGACTGCTATTCTTTTTGTATCTGTCTGACGTATTTGTCTGAATTATTGGTTTCCTGTAATATTATTGTATCCGTATAATTAACGTCCATTTCGCCTGTACCCTTGCGAGTTTCAGCTTCCCAGGTAGACGAATACGGAGTCCGTATACCCCAATAAACGATCGTACACAGCCTGTATTTCTCCGTATACGACACAGAGATAAAACGATCGTGATAATTTCGATTCGTGATATAATTTTTGTTTGTTTAAAAAACAACGAAGTTCTTAGCGGTGCGAAACGTGTGTGGTACTTAGTCGATCGTGACGGATCAGAAAATTGCCATAAGAAAATCAGTAATGCTGTCGCATATTGCAGTGATTTAAGGAATTTGTACAAGTAGGCATGTTCGCTACTGTTTGTGCGCTAATATTGATGGGACAGAAGAAGATTTTGAAGGCTAACGAACGATAGGATCTCGCTGAGGCCTTTCTTCATTTATTGTTCGGTTTGTTTGAATCAACTTGTTTCAGTCAAGGATCAAATAAACCGAAGATGAACGTTTCTTACGACGCGTTTAGTTTATTTCTCGAAGAGCAGCTTTTCACTCAGAATACTTGTTTGTAGGTTTTCTAAGAATCCTATTGAAATCATCATGTGGCCATTACAGCGATAATAGCGCTTGTGACTATTATGGCCATTACGGCAATACCGGCCATTATGATTATTTCAAAATAGATGGGGAAAACTTTCAAGCTTCTACAAAATAATGAGTGAAGCAAAGGAATAAATTAAAATGGCTACTACTGCGACAATGAAGGTCCAACCACAGCATCCTACTATTCTGGCCATTTGAAGCCTGAGTTTGACATAATTGGGGCCGTTCACATTCGGAAATGGAATATCTTGTGGAATCGGTACGTTCGAAAATTGACACAGTGGAGCCCATCCTTCTTTCACATTGAATACGAGCAACGTGTCGGGTTTGTTTTCTTTTATTATTCGAGTATTGTGTAATTCATGAATGAGTGGTCCTATTTGATCATATTCAGTTATCCATTTCTTAGCCATTTTCCTGGCAACGACGCATAGTGAGCGTAAGTTTTGAATAGGTATGCACCGGTATCGGTATACTGAATACCGAAAATACCGAACTTCGGTATATACCGATACCGAAATACCGACTTTTTTTTACTTGAAATTTTTTGGATTTTTTCATTTGAAATGAGGTATTTTAGCATCCTGGACAAGCAGAACGTATAAACAACACTCTGCTGTGTATTTTGAGCATACCGATACCGGTGCATACCTAGTTTTGAAGAGGATAAATGATAATAAAGAAGGGGGTATCCAACCACACAGGTGCAATCGAATTTTTGAAACATTCGAACCATTCTTCGCTGCTATCACGTACTGTAAATACAAGTTTCGCTTCAGGATAAATTTGATGAAGTTCTTTGTAAAATAAGGCCGTTGGAACATCAACAGATGATGTGTATCCCTTCAGTAATTCACGCAATCTACCTCATAGCCATCAGATGGTCGTGCAAATATTTTACCTTGTTCTGGTTTGTTCAATAATTCGGTCATGTGATGGCACGGACCAAAGTCAAGTATTTTGAGAGCAGTCTTAAGTGCGGACGTACCTGTCCTCGGCAATCCAGCCCCGATAATGTGCAGATAACCTGCATTACCAGAAGTCGTTTTTCTTCGATGAACGTTACTGTGCCCGAATAACAAGTGCGCCATTTACTAGAATTTCAGGGAGTTAGCTAGAAGATTACGAAATAGAACTGCTTAGATAGAAAGGAAGTAATATATGACCAGCGTTTTTCGACCCAAAAAATGCGTAGTAACAGAGCAAACATTGTCGAAGGTATGGCAAGAGCGACGTTGAGAAGAAAAGGCAAAAATACATGCACACGTGCGAAGGAACTGATAATTATGCTTTGGTTTGTTTAGTTCTTTTGAGGTAACGTCAAAAATGACGAACATGTTTTTCGATGTCGTAAATCATTTTCTTTCGCTGCCTCGCTATTGATCTTTCTGAACTACAATATTTTGTGATCGGTTGTCTATCCCTCCGAAAATTCTCTTAAACAGCACATTCTTTACGAAGGAAGGCCACCGACTAATCCCTCGCTTTTGAGCTGAAACTTAGTTGACAGGGGGTAATCGAACATGCTGATTCCGAATATCATCATGGTTTTTGCCCGCTATCATCTTAAAGCCCCGTTTTTCAAAGATCTCGGCTTTTAGACCGAAAAATCATTTGCACCAAAAAAAATTTTTGGTCTGTCCATATGAAAGAGCATATCGCAAAACCAACAAAAAACATCTTTTCAAGGCTCTTTGTGAGATTTTGAGCCAGTTTTTTAGGCCGAGAACTAAAAAGCACAGCGAAAAACTGGTTTTTCTCTGCACAGATTTCCGTACAGGAAATTCGTGTTTTTTTACTTTTCTTTCTGTTTTCATACATGTTTCTTCAGGGCTTTAAGGTTAAAAAACATTAAAGCAGTTTAAAAGCGATGGCGCGTATAAATAAAAACTGTATTTCTAATGGAAATGAAAGCTAACGAAAAAATGTTCGAAACATAACTTCATTGAACATCGAGCACAGTTAACAAAAATCACTTCAGAACAGTCTTTTTCTTGACACTCTGCGTGAGAATGTTCGTTAGGAAAGCAAGTTTCATTCACAATATGAAACTGTGAAGGAGCTTCTTTTGATAGTCCGCTGGCTATCCAAGAATACTCAATCATTGCAGTAAAAAAACAGATGCGCTTAATTGATTGTGGAGTAGACTGACCAATTTAATGATATTGTTTCGTTCGTGCAAGTGAATATTCAGTTCGTCCAGTGCAACACGATGATAACAAGCTTTCAGAAAGCTTTTAATTTGCCTATTAAAATAACAATCTAATGGCTGTAGATCGGCAGTAGTATTCTGCGAAATTTGCAAGCGTGTTATCTGTTTGCCGCTGCAGTTTTGAGGCTGAAAGGTTTCTTCTCGACTTTGGCCAGGGTAACTGTCAGAGAGTAACAAGCATTTGGAGCCGACCAATGGCAGAAAATAGTTATCTCTCCAATATTCAACTAGTGAAGTTGTGAGTTTGCCTGAAGAAGAACATGTTATAACAACGTTTTTCGGCTGAAACAGGTTTCTTTTCACTTGTTCTCCCATTTTGCCTTAATTAAGCGAAAAAACGAATGAAAGAACTTTGAAGAGATTTAGATTATGCACAACTTACCGCCTGGCTCTTGTAAGCATAGATAAATAGTTGCTAAAAGTTTTCCGTCTATGGAAATAGTTGATTGTAAAGTGTAGGAGTGTGTCGCGGCATTTTTCGACTGCACAGCACCAAAGGTTTTCTTTTCGCCAATGAAAGTGATAGTCCGACTTGAGTGCAATTCTTTTTCCACACCCGTCTGATCTGTGTTAAAGGTTTCAGAAGGTTTAAAATGAGACGAAATCTTATTATATTCTTTAAGAAAGTCTTGTTTCGATTTTTCTATAGCATCACGATTTGCGACCTGATGATGCGAAACGAAGTTCGTAATTTTATGAGAGGCTAACCTATGGCGAGCTTTAAAATTTTCCAACCAACCATGAGAAGCACGAAATTCCTCAAGCTTAATTTCTCTGGCTATCCGTAAACCCCACCGTTATATGTCCAAATCATGAACCGCCAGGCTTTTTTCTCGTGTATCACTTACTTTTTGTAAAGTAGCTCGTCCAAATTTTCCGTTTTTTGTCTTTTAGTTCCATGATGCTCAAGATATTTTCGGAAATGAGGAATATAATGTCTGTTTGGGGTTGCTCTAAATCTATGATGAACTGCCTTTCAAGAACGACCATGTTTACTTCCAGGTCCCACATGATCAACGAAATCAATTACTTGATGCATAAAATCCTCTGAAAAACTTTTTAAATCGTATTTTTCTAACACTAATTCTTTGTTCGTCCAGTCCTCGTCCACTTCTTCCTCTTCATGCTGCTCTTCTTCCTCACTATCTTCTTCGTCTGTAAATCCAGCAGAATCTATGGTTATTTCTTCGTCATAATCAACCTTCTGTCTGTTGACCATAAGTTTTACTGTAGGGCTTGTCCAGCTAATGGCTTCCGTTTTTTGCTCTTTTTCAAAAAGTTATTGCAATAAAGCTACAAACTAATCGTAAATGACAACCAGATCATTGAGTAGATTAAACATTTCTCTACAAAATCAAAAGTGTCTCGGCTCTGAACGTTGATTCGTCATGAAAATACAGCCGTTGTACAAACAGTCCCAAAAATCGATGTTGAGGCTATCTAAACAGCGTGTCTAAAAGAATGAAGACGAGCCGGTAAAAATTGAGCAAGTATACCAGTTTGTAGAAAATTGTTTACTCTACAAGATGTGGTAGCTTGTCAAGTTCGAAACTATTGTAGTTAATCTGTACTAATCAAAGAAAAACTGTGACGGCGTGTCAAAAAACGGTCAAAAGTGTCACGCCGTCACGGTTTTTCTTTGATTAATACAGATTACCTAGAATAGTTTCGAACTTGACAAGCTATCACATCTTGTAGAGCAAATAATTTTCTGCAAACTGGTATACTTGCTCAATTTTTGTCGGCTCGTCACCCCCGGAAAATTGCTATGCATTTACGATTAGTTTGTAGCTTTATTGCAATAACTTTTCGAAAAAGAGCAAAAAATGGAAGCCGTTAGCTGGACAAGCCACTCACACTTCGATGTGAGATTAAAGTTTACAAATAGTTTTAGAAACTATTCTTCTCAAGCGTATTATGCTGTCGGTTTCTTCAATGTACTGAATCATTCATCTTTCATTCCTCGAACATTATCTTTTAACTACATTTCGGACATAGCTTTCTTTTCTATCACAATCTATCGAAGCTGATTGTGACATGTATGCCACAAACAAGTACTGAATGCGTTTAATTAGTTAAAAAACAACGAAAAGAAAAAAAACACGAATTTCCTGTACGGAAATGTGTGCAGAGAAAAACCGGTTTTTCGCTGTGTTTTTTAGTTCTCGGCCTAAAAAACTCGCTCAAAATCTCACAAAGAGCCTTGAAAAGATGTTTTTTGTTCGTTTTACGATGTGCTCTTTCATTTGGACAGATTAAAAAGATTTTTTGGTGCAAATGATTTTTCGGTCTAAAAGCCGAGATCTTTGAAAAACGGGGCTTGAAACAAAATCGAATTGAAACTCGAATTGAACAAAATTGTACATTTCGATGGATAATGATGTTTCCATCGTTTGTTCGATTTTGATCAACCAAAGTTTCTCGACACCGTGAAGATTCGCTTTCAAAATCGAAACAACACGACTGCTGAGGCGAATACTAGGCGTGGTACCACATGTATCGGCATACTTTCACAGATATTCGTGTGCATGTACCCATGATGCATACTCTAAATGAATACGTAGATGGACTCGACAAATAAATTCTCAGTTACCCTGACCATTGCAGAGATCAGAAAATTCGATAGTGCCTCCTGATTGTTGAGTATCAAGTCGCGATATGATCCGTCGAATGGTCAGATGCCCCCAACGAGGCATTTTTTTCGAATACAGTCACATCGAAACAGTCTGTATGGCGTGCCGAAGTTATAACTTTGACAAAAAATGCTGCCGAAGTTATAACTTCGACAATCATATTTCTTGCCGAATTATAACTTCGCCCACACCCTCAACTTCGGCACGACATATATAAAGCGGCCACTTTCAAGCATGCTAGGTAGAGCTGCCATGACCGGTTTCGTCCTTGCTTAAGAGACTCATCAGATGGCTTCAATGTTCTGTATTACTGCCACTACTTTGAACTTTCGACTTCTTAGTAGTAGTGTAGTTTGTCTAGTGTCAGTGTGGAGACATATCCCGATCGTGATGTACTCCCAATCGGGATATATATCCCGATTGGGATATCATTTTTTGCAGCAAAATTTTTTTTATATCCCGAACGGGATATAGTTTGAAATTATATCCCGATCAGGATATACTTTGAAATTATATCCCGATCAGGATATAATTCGATATCCCGATTGGGATATGAAGAAAATCTATATCCCAATCAGGATATCAAGCATTTTAATTTTTAATTTATAAGAAAATGATAAATTTTAATTATATGAGAGCTGAATGTTCTTCTCCTTCTTCTTTATTTATTTTAAAAATTTTTTGTTGGTTAATGTAATTTCTTACTTCTGCATTAACATGTTTCTCATCAAATCTAATTAGTTTAAAAGGAGTGTTGTCGTGTCAGGCAATATGAGTATAAATGCCGCAAAACCTGGAATGATGATGTTCTCTTGGCATCTTCAGAAATGCTGGCTTCACGACTGATATACGTTTTAAAAGATACAGCAAGTTGTGATTCACTTATAAAGAACATAAGGCAGTTTATCTGCAAGAACGGAT